CGAGGCAACGGTGGGAATGTCGAAGAGGCCGCGCTGACCTACACGCCGATTATCTCAATTTGCTGGCATCATGGCCTCTGTGCCCGGACCATAAGTAACCATTCAAAACTCCGGCACGGGGAATGTCCGCTAGAGGAACCGACCACAAACGAGCACAGGGGGACCCTGGTACGAGGGGTCCGGTGGACACTACGGCTATCGTGCTCGGCCGGCTTGAACAGGAATGGCAAAGTTACAAGACTAAAGATTGCAAAAAGACCGTCATTAGATTTCGAGCACGACTCTCTCGATGGAAAGATGGTGGCTGTGGCAACAGCAGTCAGACACTCAAGCGCCGGGTTGAACGAATAATTCTATGTGCTCATGGTGGTGGCTGCTTGGCCATGTTCCGGAAGAATAAAGGGCTGCTTACTATAAATTAACATATGGCAACTCTTGCGTTCAAAACTATGTTACGCTTCTAAAATACGCCTCGAATCAGCATTACGGGATGAGCCTGAACTATGCTCGCTTAGTAGATATACTCGGGTGGAGTGCCATCCCGCCACTGATGATGAAAAAAAAACATATCGCTGGTGAAGTCGAGGGCGTGAGTAGTCACTGGCGTACCGAAGAAGCGGGCGAATTCCGCCATCACCATGGCGCATAGGTGCGATTGCAATGCGCCCGTCACTGCAGGCATGAATATTATAGTAGCCCTTGTCCTAGAAATCATGGACTACAGCCTTTTTGTCGCCGAATGCGTGGAGGAGGCATTGCCTAGCAATCTTGCCCAATGTCTTGCTTGGGCTCTGGTCCATGGTCACCAAACCCCACGAAGACCGTCTTCTACCGATGGCTGGACTGAAAGTTGTGTCCAAGGATTCGCGAACAGGGCTGCAATTACAGGGCCGAAGGGGACAGACTCTCATGGCGCTCGATGGAGCGTTTTTCATTCGTCGTAGAGTGCGCGTTGTCGAGCGCTGCGGCCAATTGGCCGTGGCGATACCGCTGGCCCCTACCCATTGCAATGGTCAGCCTAACGTGCTTGAAGAGAGATGAGTGCTTTACAAACAGCCTTGATACTGTCGAGTACGGTCTTCTGGATAGTGGACTGTAGCTTGCTAGTCAGGGTGGCTGACAACTTTCAAGAACCAGGTTGCAATTACGGCTGCATCATTTTGACCTGTGGGGATGAGACAGCGTATTCGCTCATATTCAGAAGCCAGCAAATTGCAGTAGTCTCGAAAGACAATGGCCTCAGTAATTGCAAAATGTTCAACTAGGACGATCGACTTGTAAGCAAAGAAACGGGGAGACTATTAGAGCTGTGGGACTATTGCATTCGAGAATAATATTGAGTGAGCCTTAGAAATTCGAAATTTGACGATTACTTGTGTCGCAAAAATCTGGCTTCAGCACTATATCCAAGTTTGACCTGAACAATCTAGGGCAAGCATAGCACATGGAAATACTTGACATACTTAACATGGCTAGTAGGCTAGTACTAGAAAGCTTCAATAGTAAATATACCGTTTCAATAAGTCTAAGTGTATTAGATAGAGTGATCTGAGCTAAATCTGATCAACCAAATAACTTACTATAACCTACAGCCATCTAGTCGCTGCAGATATAGAGAAGATTTTGCTTCCTATGTGAATAAACCATGATGCAAACCATACCACCCTATAATATTCGACAAAGTCAGGAATTTATGACATCAGCGTGCGTCAAAAAAGGCTCTCGCATTGCCAGCTCTGCGCCACCCAGGGATCTCCAGATCCCTTGTATTTAGCCTGCTTTGGGTACACGCAAATGGGTCTCTGCGACTGGACGCCGGCGCTTATGCTATCATTCACAAAATTGGTTGCTATTATCTCGTCCGGTGCTATACCGTATTCCACCCATTGCATCAAGGCCAAAACGACATCGTGCTTTGCATCTTCGAACCCAGGTACCGAGTATGGATAGCCAGATAACCATTGGTTGCCCCCACCAATGTACCATGGTGCAGACTGCGCCGATTGAGAACAATGTTGCAGACCCGGGACCATGAAGAGGCGGTAAAAGTCGTCCAGATTGACACCCTTCGGCACCATGGACTGATAGATGTTATCGTATAGTATTTTACTACTACTTGTTGCAATGAGGTTGTCTGCTGTTCCGTGGTATTGCAGCAACTTGCCGCCTCGTGATTTAAAGGGTGACAAATCGAAGTTATTTGGGACCGCTTGCCCTGGGTTGACCTCTTGGGCCAGTTGAATATCACGGTAATTGAAATCTGTAATGTCCCAGGTGGTGCGATTGAGTACCCAGTATTGATAGTAGGTGGATCCAAGTCCTGACACGCTCGACATTGTGAGTGTTGGGTCAGAACCGAGCGACATTCCAGGGAAGACAAAGGTCTGGTTCACATCGACAAAATCGCTGTAGAACTGTCGCATGGTCTTTATCTGCTCAGGATTTAGGCACGACGAGGTCGTGTTGTACTGGCATAAGAGGCCATTGAAGTCGAAGTTGCACCCCTCAGGATCGCTAATGATGCCGTCAATAAGACCATCTTGTGGATCGCACTGTTTCACCACTTCCGCAACAACAGCAGGGAAAAGAGATGGCGGGATATAGCCCTCCTTGCCAACAGGGTAGTTGTAAAGACCCTGCTTCAGCGTTGAGGCTGGTAGATTAGGAAACCACCACGCTGGGGCACCGGCTACAACACCGTCGAATGAGTCGGGATAGAGCTCTAGCTCCTTGATCCCTTGGCGGCCGCCTACATTAGTTGTCAGTGAAGTTCGGCGGCCAGCCTGTGAGCTGATGGCAATAGCTGGAGCGTGTCCCTACCTGTACTGCAGCTCACATAGTACGAGTATTCTAGCGACCGTCCATAATAAGCGTTCACAATTTGCTTTGCTGTTGTAACGGACCCATGCATGGCACGCCATCCCCAATCGATGATTTTCTCGGGTTGATTGAAAGCCCAAGAACCGTCAACAGGGTTGGAGCTGTGGCCCGTATCTGTTGATACAGTAGCAAAGCCATAATAAGAGAACCTCCCCATGTCAACAAAATTGATGCCGCCCCCGAGACCACCATTCCCTGTCGTCAAAATACGACCGTTCCATGACTGTGGCAGAAACACAGCGAAGTTGAAAGATGAGGTTGGGGACGATACAATGTGGATCGAAACCGCACAAAGTTGTGGCAGGTCGGTGGCGTTGATTGGTATTGCTAGATTTGTATCTGCATCGCCAAAGGAACCGCCTTGAGGTACGGACTCTGCGTAGTTTACCGAGGTGGCCTGGTCAATATCCGCTAGAATAGCTTCAAACGACTCTACTGTACAGACGCGCTGGGATGAAACGGCTGCGCTTGCACCGATCAACAACCACAATGCTGTATATGCGAGATTGAAGACGTAGTTGGACAAGGCCATGATCAGTACAGGCTGCCTGTGGCGATAGGTGTACAAGCACTTCCCTTCATAGTGATGGTGGGCAATCATGACGGTAAATAGCTTTGTCACCGTAGATTCGAGCGTACGGGTATAGAATAAGGCAGTTAGTATCTACTACAATATAGCGATTCCTGGCGTTCATCGTGTTCGGTAGCTGTGTGCGGCAATTGAGATCGGCATGGATAAACAAATGTAGAGAGGGTACCGATATCCTTTGGAAGGGGGGAAATGTAGGGGGAGACGAAGCTTAGCCAGCGTTCCATTGCGGGGTCATCTCGGCGTTACTACATAAGGTGAAAGGCGGAGAAGTAAGAAGAGCTAGAAAGGGCACATGTCCATATCATTAACACTTCAAAAACAAACCAGGTTTCTGTTGCGGGCTGCTGTAAGGTACCAGAGCGTTGATGCAACCCCCAAATGGCCGTCCGACACTGGTGCTATGTGGATGAAAGATTCCCCGTAGATGGCGTAACCTCGACAGGTTGACCGAGAGAACGGAGAGTTTATAGTGTTGTATTGTTTTGACCAAATCCACGGAATTGTGATTGTCGAGTGCTAGATAAAATCTACTCGTGATTTCATGAGATCTAGAGGCATTAGATTTCTATTGACCGCATGAATTGTTATGTTGTATCGCGTGTGTCTGGTCTCATAATTTTATCCTTGATGTGCACGACCTTGGTGGCATTGATACTGCTCGAAGGAGAACGACGATGAACAAGAGAAAAGCGGCATGGGTGCACCTCCAGCAATAGTCATCTTAAATCTACCCATCACTAAATCGATTAAAGTAGGTATGAAGCAGCGTTCACATGCCGAAACCGAGTCCGAAACCGAGTCCGAGTCTAGACTGAAGCAACTAGAACACTCACTAATAGGTTTCGGCGAAGGATTTATGTGTATATGTGTTTGCGCTCTATTTCCATCTACCACTTGCGATGATGGAAGATGAGAGACGCTCGAGTGAGTGTTGATGTTTGATTTCATTTCGCACGTTCTTTGTCGCCAAGAAGCAGCCGGTATTGGACAGTACAACCCGAAAATGACGAAGCGTCAGGCTTCAGAAGGTCAAACATCGTGACGTCTGCCCAGAGATTAGCTGGCACTCTCTAGTTTCTTTCTCCTTCATTCTTGTCTTTCGTTTTCTGCTTCGCTGTCTTCTGGTATATTGTGGAAGGGGAGGGGACTTTGTATATTGTAAGCGTTGCGACGCCCTTGATACGGTTAACGAGAATACTGTTGTAGGGAGGCATACTTAGTTGAAATGCGCAGAACGGACACGTTCACGAGTTTACAAGATCTTCATACATATTGAGTGATACAAGGAACTCTCTTCCTTTTGACTGCTCGAATGCGGCAGTTTATTCTTATTCCTGCCCTTTGTATGGCGTTCCACAGATAATGCATTTTCAGGAGCTAGTCAGTGTCGGCTACATATGTTCCGGACTCAAAGTCAAAGACCTCCCTCGGAGACAAAAGCAATGAAATAAGACAGAAATGGAGATGAAATGAACAGGGAGAGCATCCGAATCCAAGCTTCAGTGGTCTCCCTCTTGATTCCACTCGATCACTCATATTCGCCCTCCTCCGCTTTGACTGACTTGGTGGCCTTGACCGGGCGTGGGCGGCGGCGCTTGGCTGCCTTGCCAGCCGGACTGCCCTCGGTGCCGCCGTTCTGCTCCTCGGTGCTCTCGCCTTCCGCGGCCTTGCGCTTGCGAGGTGTGGCCTTCTTCTTGGCACTGCCCTCGCCGTCGTTGATCTGATGGTCACTTTCATGACTGGTGCCATCGTTGTCGCGCGCCTCGCCGATGGCCTTGAGCTTGGACTTGATGCGACTCCAGTTGGTGCGGGCACTCTCGGTGGTGGCGTACTGGGCAAGACGGGCGAACTTGTCCAGCTGGATCTAAATATTCGTCGTAAGTTAGCTAGCTGATCTCGTAGATTCTGATAATCAAGATGGGACGCGGGCATGGGAGAGGACGACGAGATGACATGAAACGAAGAGCAAAGCCGGGCGTGTCGTGATGACAAGCTTACCTTGGCGTCACCTTCGATGCACTGCCAGGCAATGACGGCAAGTTGGACCTCACGGTCGCTCAGCGCGAGTTTGTCGGAGGACTGTTCCTTCGGCGCCGCCATACTGAACTGACGGATAATCCGTTATGGTGAGTTGCTTGTGTGTTTATGCGCGTGTATGGGTGCGCTTCGTCGTGTATGTGGTGAGATGAGATGGTTGGAAGGAGGAGAGGTCGGTGATAACAGGGCCGCTGAAGGTAGTTATTTTGAGGAGTGGCGGCAACGTGGTCTGTGTGCGCGTAGACATCCAGGCCAAGGACAATCTGCCAATTGGCAAAGACGTGACGCCTATCGAGTGGCGCGTGGTGAACATATTGCACGTGAGGTGGTCGGCGTTACGGTTGCATACCTCATTACCTAAGGAATCTTCAAGGAGATGAGATAGAGACGAGATGATTTAGGTTGAAGCGAGGTAGGCCTTTCCTCAATAAACAGCATTAATGAGTTATATGATCTTTCTCCCGGATGTAGCTTCTCATCAAGCGAGAGTGCACGCTATATAGACCTTGAAGTCATGGTCGAGCAAATAGGGAACCTTTCCCAACACTCGATATTTGGTGTAGTTAGGTGTAGTAGTCCAACAAGATCAAAGACAGGAAAGGCCGCAGGCACAGACCAGCCCAGGCAATTACGAAACTCCTTCGCCATTGTAGTGCGGTGACCATGGCCTCAGTACCCTGTCATTTCGAGATTAAACGTGCAATACCATCCTGAAAACATGTAGGCCTCGAGTTTCTAAATCCGGGCCCATCAGCTTAGCAGTTCGGTGGTCCGGACGAAAAACCCTTCAAGCTGACAATCGCTCAGAAAACGAAATACCTATTCTGAGAGATATCTGCTGAATTGAAATCAACTTCATGAGGGCTCCTAAATGTCAACTACGTCAAATTCACCTTTCTCGGCTTGTTCCGAATTGCCAGTCTCTGCAACATGGACAATGACATTTCTATTACTATTGCCATTGCTGTCCTTTCAACTTCTTTGTCATCAGTCCATCGGCGAATACGCAACTGACCAAAAAACCAGGATGTGATAGCTACCACGACCCCTTGGGAGCCAGCAGATGAAGGCGTTGACTAATCAACACCCTCAATGTCAAGCATCGAACAGCAAGTGATGGGTAAATTACAGGAATGGTCTGTGATTGGCACTTCACCATCTTCCCTCGCTTAATGCCACACTATACAGAGGATCTTCCAGGGAGCATATGTCCAGTCCAGGGTCAGGTACGGCCGGTCCAATCCAGCGCAATGTGGGAGGGAACTTTGGAAGTCCAGAGCCCAGGATCTGGGTCAATTAAAGCAGCAGGCACGCCAGAAGGAAAGATAGAGAGTGTGCGAACGGCGACGCCACACGCTCATATACAACCTCAAAGGAGAAGGATGATAGCTTAAGACAAGATGGAAAATTAATGTAGCTAAGAGAAGTAGTATAAAGACATAAAGAAGTAAAGAAGTAAAGAAGTAAAGAAGTAAAGAAGTAAAGAAGTAAAGAAGTAAAGAAGTAAAGAAGTAGGTATAGTGTGTGGGTGAATGGGTGGGTAGGCAGGCAATGAGAAAACCCCCCACCGGAACGTCAAGAGCTGAAGGAAAAAAGTTGAAGAGTGGAGGAAAATCAGACAAGCCGTGTGGGGAGGAGAAGAGGGTTCACAAAGACTACCCAGACGGACAGGCAGAAGACGAAACTGGACGTTTAGACGATGGCATTTGAAGGAAAGAAATGGCATATACGCTTGAAATCGTGGTATGCTTTAATTGAACACTCGCAATTGAGTCTGTGATAGGTGCGTATTCCTCCAACCCAAATTACCGTATCCCAAGAAATCGGCCTAGCTGCCACTAAAGGTAAGAAGCGTGGACTCAAAGACTGGCCATGTAAGGCTCTTCTTACCCCTGGCTCGCGGTGGTTGACGCCAAGCCTCCGCTCGGCAAGGCTGGTGTTGTACGGAGTCCTTCCTCTGCACTAAATTAAGAGCCTCTTAGGTAGTTGCCAAATCAGGACAAGCAACACTCCTTGATTGGCCAAGATGATGATGGAATAATTTAGGTCGCCCGGTACCTACCTTAGGTAAGCTCAAGCCCGTCTGCTCACATTCACCATGTCCGGAGCTTACCTATATAACTGACTCAGCCGATTGACAACTGGTACTTCTTCAATCAAGTAAGTAGGTATGTATGCACGAGCCCCGGATCCGCCGCACAAGCAAGCAATCATTGATGGTTGCGATCCTGCAGCTGGCGCGACTGTGCTTCGTACGCCCCGAAGCGGAGTCAGCCTAGGTAATGTTCCCCCCAGTGATCCCGTCCTTGTAGGGAGTTGGTTCCATGGACCCGAACATGCCTCGACGCATCCAATCCGCGACAACTCCACCAAGACTTGAGCAATCCTCAGGGGACGAGGTCTTTCGATTTCTCCAATAGGTCTACTATGCGACGCGATGTACACTTCCTCATATAAGCCGGGTGCTGTCATTACAGACTAGACAACACAGGCAAGACATACCCCACCCCTGTGTCTCCTTCAGTCTAAACGTCGCATTGCTTTTCTTGACGGCAATCGATTCTTCTCAATTGGCGCAACCGATTGATCCCTATTCCAGGGAAGGTTTCTAGTTTGCCCGCCGTTATGCCAAGAAGACTGGCGTTCGTTGTGGACCCGGGGTTCGCCGGCTTCCTCTACACCAAACCACGTCGCACCTGTTTTGGCATTTCTGCTAGCCTACGTGGTCAAGTCTCTTCACTGCGTCATACGATCGGAATCATTCTTCTTCACACGTGCGGGAAGGAGTGCGCCTGACTGAGATGGTTTTTCGGAATCCACCTCAGGCAAGTGGGCGGCGCATAGGACATCCCGAGAACATCCCGTCCAAATGAATTTTCCAGTTTCGGACAGCGAACACGTGGTACTTTGGTTCAAAAGCGCACTGGCACCAAGTTTAAACCCTCTTGAGGAGTGACAATACAGCTGTTAGTTTAGAGACGCAACGTGTAGCTGCTGTGTAGCTGCTAGGGTTGTCAAGGCATGGCGAGTGTTGTATATGCCGCGCGACGGTTGGTCGTACCAAAAGATTGACGATGGCAACAAACAGCTGCGGTATGGAATAAAGGCGACGAGGTTGAGTCAACTTGATGGCACAATAACGAACCTTGTCGAGATAATGTAGGGACCTTTTCGTTGTCAGTGGTACTTGGTAATGACATTCTTTCGTTTTCGTTTTCCCTACCTTCTTCTTCCCCGGCGGAGAGAAATATCATGGTTCGTCGCGGTTGAGACCTCGAGGCGGGGCTGTTGACGTGCGGATTGAGAAGCCAAGTCGGGCAATCAAGTCTTGAAAGAGCCAGGCAATTCTTGTATCTTTCCCCTTATCCTTCTTGTGGCGAAAAGCTAATGACAATGACGCAACCAAGTCGGGACCGAGCCCTGGTGAGTAAACACCGCCTGTCTGTGAGCAACAACAGGCGATGGCGCAGAGGTTGGAAGACAACAGCCACAGGATCAGAAGATAAAGCCCAAGGGCTGTGCTGTGTGTAGTGAAAGCCCGAGTCTACTCTGAGCGAATAAGCCGGCCGGCCCGGACTAGAATCAGTAGAAGCATCTTGATTCGGAAGTTTCCAGTTGACTGAATGCGGTTTTTGTGAACATCCACCACTTGGCATGGGGGTCAGAGACGAAACGAAGTTGGAGTTGCAAGTGGTGACGGCACGAGGCTAGAAGTAGAAGGCTTTACAGCGGAAACTTCAATAAATCTACCGTTAGGTATTGACCAAGCATCCACCGGGAACATCACGCAGAGACTGCATTGTGTCTTCTCGACACTTATATCAGATCCATTCGAAACTTTGGAAAGCGTAGGCTACTTACTATACGATAGATTGAGGCTTTAGCCCCATCAGACATTCGTTGTTGAGATGAGAGTCGCTGCTCACCGTAACTGACTCGAAACATCCATCAAGTGGCTAATGATACACAATGTTGAGGTGCTTGTGATCTGGGTGGTGTACCCTTCCAAGGCGGTGACGGCAATTGTGCGCACCTGCCCGTTTGAATTGTCGTCCCTGCAGGTGGCCACTTCCGTTTGAATCTTCCGGAATAATTGGCGCCATTGCCCTTTCAGGTTTCAATTCCGTATCCAGCTCTCATATTCCAAACAAAATTCAACAACATCTCTGCTCATAAACAACCCCATTTTCTTCCTCTTCCTTCCCTACCACCAAATCCATCGTCTTGTCAGTGCGCTGCTACCAAGCCAGCAAAGCAGCCCGTCTCTCCTCGGTATTCAGCGACACAACCAGAGGGTGACGGACAAACGGCCGCTGGGCAGACCTTCGGACCACTCATTCTTCGATGGACGCTACCCTTCACAGTCAAGCGCCCGCCGCCAGCGGTCGTTCCCCCAGTACGACGGCAACTCTTAGTGAATCAGGGAATGAGCAACCTCGATACACGCTGCCCTCCACCTCCACGACGATGTCTTCCGGCATCACCGCGTTGCCAGCGGACATCAATCCGGCACTTGTTCCAGTCATTGGAGTCAAACTCCGGTCATCTCCTTACACTGACATCGAACTCCATTTGCACCTCGAAAAGCCCAATCCCTGGGATTTACTCGAGGCATACAAGCAGCCGTACTATCACATCAACAATTCAACGTCCCCAGCAGCGAAACTTGGCCTTTCTCGTCAAGTTCTCGAACTCTTCCGCCTCACAGAGTTGCCGCTCGAGGTCATCTACTGTATCGCTGAGATGCTTCCTCCCGAGTCCGCCGCCTGCTTGGCCCTCGTCAACAAGACATTCTACGAGATCTTGGCTCATCGCTTTCTCAAGCTTGAGACATATAGCCGCTGGAGGTTCCTAGTCCTACTTGAGAAGGACATGATCTTTCTTGTCGCATGTGCCGACTGTATGACGCTTCACAGCCCACTCATCGCGTGGGATGAAAACACAGGCATGTCGTGTCTGAACCAGGATCTAGAGCGCGGCCTGCCTCATTCAATTACCTATCCCATTGTGCGCTTAATTGCCAAGACCCATCTTCAGAATCTGAACCACAGCGAGATCCTGGGCTATACGAACCAGTATTTCACGCATTTCGGCAAGAGCCTGCAGTACAACGACTCATCTTCCTGCCGGGTGGTCAAAGGCAATCTCCTCCAACGACGACAGATAGTCGTGCGGCCTCTCAGAGGCGACACAATGACCATGCGCTCCCTATACAAACTTGGTCGAGTATTAAATCCACACTACTTTGAGCCCCTTTGTCACCACAAGGCGTGGTATCGGGCTACCTCTGTCGATCTACGAGTTCACGCCGACAAGATCGCAGACTGCCACAACCAGGCACACCATAATACCACTGAGGGTATGCATATCGGAATGCACAGAGAGTTATGCTTTAGCAGAAAGGACGCGATAGAGATACTTGGAGAGAAGGGTCTGAAGTCCGGGATGACCAAAACACTTCACCACACACTTTTCGCAAAGGAGGCAAAAGGCAGCGTGGGAAGAATCCAAGGTTGTAAGAAATGCTTTACCGACTACTGTGTTACCTTTGTCGACGTCGACGATGCCGGGCGCTGTGTCGTCTTGACGTCATGGAAAGACTTGGGTGGTCTTGGTCCGGACGAGAAGGCAAAATGGGACAGTCACAGGTTCCCCTCACTGCTCGAAGTGCGCCGCCGTGGAGCCCCTGAGAGAGATCTGGGTCGCTCTAAAGAGTCTCTCGGACAAATATTCTGCGCCTGGGAGGACATGGACCCTGCTACAACCAATCTGGAAGACCACTTGTACATCCCGGAGCTGGGTCGACGCCTTGTTCGCGACCTCCAGGAGGCGGCTACTGATGAGCATGAAAGCTTCTCGCAAGTTGACGAGGATAAGACAGATGATTCCGATAAATCTAACCAGTCTGATTGGACTGATGAGGCAGATGAGGCGGACGATCATTAATCTGGCACTGATCGCCAATGATATGTCTGTGTGGTGGGAGCATCACCCTAGGAAGTCCCGGATTCGGGTCATGTACTAGCTGTTTTTGTTGTTGATCAGTCGTGGCTGGAGGTGGCAAATGTCTATGGAATCGGTCGAGGAGGTGTAATGGATGTAACATTGTAGGTCTCCGAAGCTATATGAAGACCGACCGTTTGTAATGCATTACACGCGCGAGGAGCGGTATTGTCACCTGCTTGCTTTGATAACGAATGTTATGGTGCAATTGAGAAGAATCACATTGACACGAAATGTAATGTCCGGCATCTAACACTTCGTTGCAGCTCGGGTCAAATATCTTACATTGCTAAGCAAACCAAGGAAACCAAAGTAATAATTGGCATGTTGGAGCTAAGACGGGCAATAGATCGCCTTGAATCTGTCATGATCACTGACGCGGAAAGTCTTACATTTGAGTATCCTCCTATGCTAACACAGCTCGCCTGATTCTTGTCAGGTTCATAAGCGCGTTTAGCTGACGACTTCAAGTTAATATTCAGAGTTGGAGACTTATTGTGCTGCTATCTAGCTGGAAGCTGGGGAGGCGATGGTGGCGAAGTATAGCCGTTACCAACAACGTCCACACACTCGTCTGCGTCGTAAATGCCTCCTTCCTCTTCGATGTCGTGCCCATATTTGGCTTGAATCAAGGGACCCGCATTCGTGGGATTCGGCGGTGAATCACCGTCGTCGAGAGCTTTAGAAGATTCCGTGCCGCTGTCAGTGTTTATACGTGATCCCTTCTCGTCGGAATGAGCCGCCTGCTCTGGAAGACCCATATCGATGGCTGGGCGCTTCTGTCGTCAACAGGGTCCATGGTCTTTTGACCGACATGGCCGTTGGTCGTTACTGCGCGGGGCCTGCTCTTGTTGCTGTCGGGATCTCGGTCTTTGGCGACCGCAATAGATGGAAGGCCTGTAGCGTTTTGTAAGACAAAACAGCCGTTCCATGAGTATGAGCGGACGACAAGGTCTCACCTTCTTCACGTTTGGATTGCGGTTGCGGCTCTTCGATTTGCTTCTCTCCGTCTAGTGACGCCTCCTTTTCCGCGTCACTTGCTAATGCGGAGATTCTGCTTGGCTGCTGTATGTCGGATGGACCAAAGGGCGCTTGCCGAAGCTGCGAGACAGTAAAAACAAGATCCCCTGGTGTTTGGCCTTCAGCGGAGAGTCTTTCTAAGCATATGGAAGACATAGTGCTCCTCTGGAGGAGCTCCTTGTTACTCTATAAAGCGTTCGTATTAGGCGGCTGGGATCTATGAAAGCCACGGTTGTCTCAATGCGAACTGGAGAGTCTCAGGGAATTTTTAATTCATTCGGGCTGGCCCGTTCTGTTCTTGTCGTAACGGCTGGCTGGCTATCAATGCAGATAAGGCCAACTGTGTGCTGTCCGTATCCCGTGCGTGTGGCTTGTTTGTGTGCACACAACAAGTAAAGAATCAGTTCAGTTCAATTCGGACACGGCAAGGAGAACGCTGCAAGGATAGGGAAGAGAGAAAGTGAGGGGGAGAGAGAGAACGGTGATACAACTTGAGCTTGAAGTTTTGCATTTTGTTTGGGTGCAGGTGGGTTGAGGGAAGGACGACGGGAGTTGGCAGGAGGGTGTGTATTCTTAGGTAATCCAAACTTGGAAGTATCGTACCTCCCGAAACTGGTGGTGAACTGTACATGTACATGCACCTGGGTACCTACCTATCTAGGTAGGTAGGGGGGCACACCTGCTGAGGGAGGGAGGGAGGGGAGCCTTATCTGATCTGATCTTATCTTATCTAGCCATCACCTCTCCCGTCATTCATGGATGGAATCAAAGAACCAGGTGCAGTGGCAGGTGATGATTTATTTACATGTATGGCAATGGATTACGGCTAGCTTAACCTCTAATTGAATTTGATCTAAAAATAACACAGTGCTAATAGACAGATAGCTGCAAGTGTCTGAGTCTGAGTTTATTATTAGGGTTGATCATGGCCATGACTTGAGTATCGCATTCCTCTCACCTACCTGCTAGGTACCTACAGTGATCATGATGAAGATTTTTATCCCTACAGAGCCACCAGTCAAGATATAACGTGGTTGCATAGCGAGCGGGCCACTTCAAAAACATATAGTTAAAGCTGATTTTGATAAGTCTCTTCGTTGGCGTCGACTTCCAATTTCTCCTCCTCTTACAGCAGCCACAACATTCACAGGCCGTCATGGTCCACCAGGCTGCTTTTCTGCAGCAGCGGCGGCGAGGTCCCCGAGACACGCATAGAGCGCAGCACTGACTCGGATCACACCGATTACAGGCCACCGGCAACGCTAGCACTACAGGCCGCAACATCTCTCGGCTATAGGTCTAACAAGCTATCGTACACTTGCCTAGGAGCGTCCGGCTACATGCCCCAGTTCGCCCGCTCGGTCAAGCCGTCGAAACAACAAAGCCCGCTCCAAGTCGACTTTGCTCGGAGCAGCAAAGCCTTCATTCAAGTGTGCACCAATCCGGCTACAGCAGAGCTTCGTAAAGACATAATACAAGTACTGCTACCCCTAGTACCCAGTCATCGATCCGGCAATACTCGCAGCCAGGCCCCACACTGGGAAGTCTACACTTCTCAAGCAAGCCCTGGCTGCACTGGGCAGCCACATCCGCCCAAGACTCGAAAGAAATTAGCCGCTGTTTCGGCAGCCCACCCGTGCATACCAAGACTAGACAAGTATCATATCTAAGAGCCAAAGTTACAACTTCCAACAACTTGTCGACTCAAGGGCAGAGATCTCCATCTAGTGAGTTCGACTCTACCACATCATCAGCCACAGAGACAAGATACTGCAGAAGAGCTTGTCAAAGGCACACAGCCCCTTCCTAGCCCTAGTAACTTAAAAGCTACTAGTTTAGATTGTCAACCTACCACCACATCTCTAGTTGACTTTAGATCAGACAATCTCAACCACTTTTAACTGTGACATATGCCAAGTTCACCTTCCATATCTCACCACCATAATCATCTTACATCTCGCTCAGTCGTCCAACCCGTTCGTTGCCTACAGCATATAGCTTGGCCGTACTTGCGACCACGTTTATTGCACAGGTTTGACAAGACTTTCTATATCGCAAGCACTTGGGCCTCCTGCCACGATCTCACGTTGGTACATCGCCATCGTAATACTGGCGCTCTTGACCTCTTGGTTGGTAGAGTGCTTGAGTGCATGCCGAAGCTGACGTGAAAGTTCTGCGTGCTGGATAAGCATCGTCTCTGCAGACTTTCATAGATCAGTGAAACCAACCACCATTTAATGTGCTGTCTGCCCATTGGCATGGTGTACAAACTCACTGTGTGAGGTTGCATCCAATGGTGACTGGTCCTTTTTATTCTTTTTTTCCGAGGGGGTGGCGGTTTAGTTGGCATTATACCTTTTGCTCCTTTCTTCTGTGGGAAGGAGCTCTCGGATTTGACCCACTGTTTCCCTATTCGAATCGTTGCGAGGGAATGCCATCCGAGGTTTCATTGTCCTAGTGTTCCTTTGAATTCATCATTAAAGGAATGAAGTCACTGCTTAAAAGGTAGCGAAACGGCATGTGGACGCGTTTGGTGGCTTGTCTTGGTGATACTTCCAGGCCCTTGCAGAGCTGGTCCGAAATGCCGAAGTCTGGTCACAAGCGGTGGTTGTCCTCTCGGCGACCAGCGAAGCCGAATAGCCTCCTCCAACCGTCGCGTTTCCCACTCCTCTTTTTGCTTGGATACGTCTGTTATATTATCTGGTGTTCCACTGATCCATTAAGGGGGATGTAAGTTAGCGCATCTCGGCTGGTCAGCATTCGGTAACTTGAGCTCGCTGGACGTCAGTAATTTTTCAAGAGCCAGGTGAGCTCGGTGGGCTTTGCTTAACGAGGAATTCTCCACAGCTTCCATGAACGCTTCGGGATGGAAACAAGGCTTACATCACTTGTTGGAGCAAAGCAGCTTTTCCGGAGATAATTAGCGGCTCATCCCAAAGCTCGCAGAGGGATTAAGTACTACTCAAAACATTCTTGCTTATCCCTTCTCATTTGCATATCTTTTCCCTCTTTCATAAATTTCCGTTGCCTCAGCTTACTGTTCCGTTCTCCCAGAACGTAGAGCCTTCCATCTCTCAATTACAGCGTCCTTCTCTTCCTTTGTCGCCTGCTGAAACTCCTCGATGCCTTGCCTCAACCGGATCAACATGATCTCAGCCCTCAGTTTTGTGAGATGATGTTTTGAAAACTCCTTCTCGACCCCCTTGAGCGTATATCCCGGCAACCCAAACACCGCAGCACCAAGATTATAAAAGAACCCCACTCCGGCATTCATAACGCCGGCCCCGAGCCCCTTTGCTCCCCTTTCCTTCATACTCCTGGACGGCTGTACGACTAGGGCCGCAAGAGCGTCGTATAAACCCAAAACAAACTCCTTTCCAGCCGTATGCATACCGCTCCCCAGCCCCGTGATTGGATCTCGCCGTCGAACATCCACGAAGTGAGACCTGTACGAAGGGTAGTTGTGGAACCCGTTGGCCACGTTGTAGAATAACGCAACCGGAGCTCTAATTCCAGCCTTGGTCACGTCCGTGATAAAGCGTCCGGTGGCACGCGCCAGATAAAACGCCTTTTTGTGGTGGCCCTGCTCCTGGGCTCGCCAAGTGGCCTTGCTCCGTTCGTGAAACGTCGGGGCGTGTTTGATCCTGCTGGTCACCTTCTCGCCACTTCTTAGAGACTTCTTGGCGGCTTTGGTGGCAAAGCGCTCCATCTGCGTCTGCGTGGGGTGGATTGAGTGCATGGGAGGCTCATCGGGTTCCTGATCTTGAGGATTGTGGTTCGATTGCATTATTGTGAGTTGATCGCTGTCTGAATTGGGCAAGGAATCGTTCTCCTTGTTCTTTGCTACGCGTCGGGAAGATAGATTACACTTATCCCTGCTTATTAGATCCGCCCCTTGGACGTTTTTCTCTCCACCTGGTGGCAGATTTTCCGATGTCATTTCTTTAGGCTCTTGGGCTTTTCCTGGTCTATCTTTAAGACGAGTGCGGTACTCACTACCCGCTGTTGCAAGCAACGTGAAGAAGAGTGAAGTAGCAGCGATTACACCAACAATAGGGTGCTCGGCGCCCTCGTCGACATACCAGTCGCTATGCCTTAGTGATTTCATGTCGCGCGGCTCAATCAGACCGCTGTCAACCAGACAGCTGGTCGCAAAAGCGCTGAGGTGAGCTCCTGTTCGCTTGTGCCTCCAGACCGCAAGTCGGTCGGGACATAGGTCGCACTGCATCTGGTCGAGTCCATGCCTCTGGAAAGCTGCTGCTGTTTGGGTTGCTCCGTTCTCGAAGGCCATGCGATTAGCCATCTCCTGCACTGCAGTGTGGACCTCTGGTTTAAGAGCGAACTCTATGCTGGCCGCCAGTGTCTCGGCAGTCAGACTCTTGAAGGGGATAGGTGCCGGGCCAGCCCCAGCCTTCGAGATCATCTGTCCCCAGAACGGCTGATCACCGAAGAAAGGGACAATGATCGAGGGACACCCTGCTGCGATGCCGGCTGCAGTTGTGCCGGCCCCACCGTGATGAACCACGGCGGATACGCGATGGAAGAGCCAATCGTGGGGTACGTTGTCGATCAAATACACATCTCTTGGTGTCTCACCGGCCCCAATGCCGCCCCATCCTTTGGAAATTATTGCTCGGACACCAGCGAGCCGTATAGCCTGAAATATCATGCCTGTCAGTGCTTGCGGGTCGTCCACCACGATCGACCCGAACCCGATATAAATTGGAGGGGGAGCGTTCTCATGTAGGAACGCAGCTAAGCTTGAATTCGGTGTGTATGAGTCAGCCAGAGGTAGAAATGAGAAGCCGGTGATGTCGATGTGTGCACCCCAGTCGGCCGGTTTCGGAATAAGGGTTGGTGACCAGAGATAACTGTAAGGAACACGAAGCCGGGGCACTAGTTGATAGCCCCAGAGGGGGCTTACAGGATCCAGGCGCAATACCTGGATGCGGAACTTATTGATTAAGTCGCCCAATCTGTCTCACTTGTGGATTAGACTTCATGAGGTAAATTCATAGGATGGGGTTGCAGTAGTATAAATAATACCCTTGCCATGTTAAAAGTTCCATCAAAATGAATGAAAAGTAGTTGGCAATCCCCTTATCCGTGTCACCATCATACCTGATGGAGGCCAACGGGTGTGGGAACTTGGTAGTAGGTGACCAAGGCATACTGATAATGACTTGAGTCAGTAATCCCGACGTCCGAGGTGATACATGATAGGAGAGAACCTCACGTGAAAACCATGTGCAAAGGAATCCCAAGCTTTTCGGCGCAGTGGATATGAGCCATGGAAGGTGGGTTGGCGATAATGGCGTCCGCCATGAACAAGTCCTTGACATCGGGTACATCAACGGCTCTAAAACGTCGTCCGAGACCATCACCAGCCTCGATGCAGCCCCCCCAAGCGCCGTTCATGATCTCCCACATCTCCTTACGCCTCTTACCGATGTCGCCCGCCTTGACGCTCTCGCGGGAGGGAAGAAGGCCAGGGTTACGCACCATATACGCCATCAACTCGGACGGATCGCCGCCAATACTGAAGAACTCAATGCCATTCTCCTCGACAAAGCTCTTGAAGACGGGATGGGTGCAAATGCGCACGCGATGACCATATGGCGGGCTGGAGAGCGCCTGGGCGATGGGAATGAACGGCTGCACATCGCCTCTTGACCCGACGATGTGGATGACAATGTGCAGCCGCGGCACCGAGGCTGGCCTGTAGCCAGACAGGGCGACAGTGCTGAACTTCCGCTGCTTAGGGGGCTTTTCGCATCTGTCTGGAGGCTGGAAGTTCCTGAACCAGGTCACAACGGATTGTGCGTTACGATGGATCTGGACCTTGATGCGGCCATCTGAGCCGAGCTTGCCTGACTGAGGATGCCCAGACGCCGCATTGTCGTCAAAGGCAAGGCTCCCAAGGCTCATCTGCTTCGCGCGACTACTGAAATCCATGTTCTCATTGGCGTGCGCGCCGCATTTAAGACATTGGAGCACGAGACAGCAAAAAGTAGATAGATACCTAGACAACAATGGTGAAAGATAAAAAGAAGATGCTCGACTAATCTTAATCCGTTTGCATTCTCGGGAGGACTGGCACGTGCGTCATTCTAGTGAATCGCGGAGTCTCATTGGACGAGAGGGTTCGATGCTAGGATAGTCGCTTAATAAGCACGGCTCGTGTTTTCATACGCTATGCTGTTTCGGTCAATAACGGCACACTGTATCCTTTCCGGATCTCCTGAACTGTTGTATTTTATGTTAACGAAGGCATACTGCACAGCTATCTTTCAGGTAATTCTCAAGAGATTAAAAAATTGCCATAGCGGTTGTCATTCCATTTGTGTAAAGGTGATTCGGAAAAATTTCGCCAAAGTAAACTAGGTATTAATGATTAGATCCTCCATGGCAAGTGACACGAGCATAGGTTCCAAAAAATCGATCCGTTCGAAACCATTTTGAAGATAAACAGATATGTTTGTGTGACACCAGACTGGAATGCTGGCCGACTGATAAGGTTGAGATAGAGTGCCTCGATTGCTGTCTCCGCTATTAGGCAAGAAAGAGAACCGATGGAGTCAATGGCTATCTAGACGGAGCGTTGTCGACTACGATTATAGCAAAATGATTGCACAAAAAGCCTACAGAAGTGCCACCAGCCTAAGGTATAGACATTAGTACACAATAGTGTCATTGTCTACCACAGAAATCGAACACAAGCTACTTACCAGATACAAGATTTACTCACTGTTGGTCAATAAAACTTCAGATGCCTGAACAAAAGAAATCATCCCAGCCAATATGAAATTTCCATCTTCTCTAACTGTAGTGCTTAGCTAGATTTTAGAGATTTTGAAATTTTAAACTTGTGTTTTTTCAATATATAGACTCTCTGCTGGCATTACTAGGGATCCTTGCTTTCGTCCCAGTCATCGGCCAAGACATCGCTGCTTGCTCTCTCCAATTCAAGCAGAGCATTCTATTGTTAGCGCCATGAAATTAAGCTGCTCTAAACAGCCGAGTTTCTGTGGTATTGGTGAGCTACGACTATGGCACGCAGGTTCGGTTCCATCCGTGTGGCTTCCATAATTCGCAGCGCACGCTCAGCACAACTCCATGAAATATTTGGCCTCTTCATATCGCGTTCCGACGGCTTCCGCGAGATGGATCAGCGTGGCGACTTTCCTTCAAGATCGGACAGGAATAGAGGCCGGCGCATTCACAGTACATTGCAACGGTACGTAATGACGTATCGTCTGATTTGCGGAGTCTTTATCGCGACGACGCCGTTGGTATTGGTCCTCACATCGTCTCGGCTGATTAACCTGGACTTTCCGGTACCAGGATGGATAGTATCTTGGCAAATGATGGAAGAGAAGAACTGTGGCCTATAAAGTTCATTTTCAGTGGGGAGAGGTTCAAGTGGACAGTAACTGACAAGCGTAAGGCCAGTCAAACCCTGTACCAGGAATCTGGAAAGGCGTAATTGCTTATGCGCACGAACGACCCACACGGCGAGATTCTAGTTACTTTGGTGATACACTGGTGTTCCCCTAAATCAAAGGCTCAGGGAAGATGATGTTTATGGGAGACGGCGCCTCATGCCACTTAGGAATATGCTGGGTTGACCTGGCTGTTGTGTCACTGCTAAAGCTCTGGCAAATCAGGGGCATACGGCAAATCGCCAGTAGTATAAAGTAATCAGCCATCCAGGTATCCGGGCAGTCGGCAGGTACTGATAAGACCAAAAGAAGTGAAATCTAACGTCACTTCCGTGCTTTAATATCTTGTGCAAGGGTTTCAAGTAAGAAGTCAGGCTGCGCTGTCCCTTGTGGCAAAAGTTCAATTAGAATTTTATTGACAATTTTTTTTTCAAGGAGCTTGCCATCGTACTTAGGTCCTAGGATATGGAGTTTTCCGGAGCACTCTACACATGCGCTTTCTGAACTTGGCTTGTGGTATATTAGCTTGGCCTCCAATCATCTCTCGAGCACCATGAGAGCTGCTTAACAAGAGCTCTCAGCAAGCAAACAGTATGGATTTTAAAGAGCTACTTGAAATGTACACATGCTTCTAATTTAAATTGAAATCGGATATGATCTCTGTGCTGTTTTTCAATGCTAGGCCGTCTCAATTCAAGAAGTTGGGGTTGGCTCTAGTAACGAGAGAATTACAAGCCGGGTTTAGGGTGTAGTTCGTCACCTCCATAGTAGAATTAGATCATTTTATAAGCACTCGGGTGGAAATTTTAATCGGACCTGGCTAGTACAGGGGGGATTCGGTTGATTTTGTCATACCGAGATTGAGTCAGTTTCCACAAATCTTGATCCCATTTCAACGAAACCTTCCCCTCCCTTCTAATGCACACATCATTACAGCCCTCTGAGTGAAAGAGCAATGACTAGACACGTCATAATCTCAATTTCCGCCCTAGCAGCCCTATCGTCACTAGAAAGAGGAAAATTCTGATTAGCTTGGCTCTCAGCCAACCGACACGAGTCTCTTAAGTGGAATGGCCGATACAGCACCGCCCAAGTCAAAATCATGATCGATTTTGAAATCCTCATAACTTAACAAATAGCTGATGACTTATATTTGGTTAGTTAAGGTCGAGTTTGACAATTTCCAGATACCCACAGAGGACAAGTACGGTGCTGCTAATGTTGGCAGGCCTAATCCTGCTGCATTCTGATCAAAGAACAGACCCGGCGCTACGAAACCATCACTCAGGGCTTGTTTGGATACAGCATTACGGGGTCAGTTCCCGCAAAAGCATACTTCAATACCATATTCGATCAAAGCATAGGTTTTGCCTTTAATCTAGAAGTCTTAAATACCGAAGGGCTCTGGAGCTTTTGAAGCGGTATGGCGTTTCTCTGAAACACTCTAAGACAATTCGTAGTGACAGTTTCAAGGCGTTGAAAATTCAAGAAGCTGCTGAAATAGCAAATAGAGTCAGCATGTTCAAGTAGGCCGGGGAATCAAACACCTCTCAAGATACCGGGTCTTCCATTGACACCAAGCCAGGTTGCTGACGAGATCAACAGCGATCGACTACAAAATGGCACTATGTCTTATGGCGAAGCCATGAAGGATCGGGCAGGTAGCAGGTCATATACAACAGTCATTCACTGATGAGACTGCAAAGAATCTCTTTGAAGCGGAGGAACACAACCCTGATACCCAGTAGCCAGACCTGGAGAAATTTTCAAAAATTACGTATCGTTTTCTAGCTAGACCACTTGGCGCTCTTCCTGACATCATGTCGCTTTTAGCACCCACGGTCAATTTATATAAGCGCTTCGTTGAGAACTTCTAGGCTCCTGTTCTGATCACATGGGGTCCGGAAGACCGACTAGTTTCAACCAGAGTTAGTTGTATCGCCAACTTGCTAACCTTCTGCCACACACATGGGAATTCGCATTTCTGGCACTGATCTGCACCCACACTATGCTCTTGCAGCTATCTTCAATGTGCGTTTCCATGGCATTTCAAAGAAGCTTGAGATCTTTATTCATCCTAATTCTGCGAGAAGCGTCGTAGATAGGAGACCTACTCGGTTGGCTGAGAGTCGTTAGGAGGACGTTGAACAACACAGCACTGAAGAGCGTTGTACGGGAATTATATTCTAGCGAGTCTGTGTATCTTTTATAGCGATGCGGAAACATGGGCAGACACAATGAGACAGTTTGAGCAAAAGATAGATCATGTGACGCTGCACTTCATGTTTTCGCAGGAGCACTGAGGTTCATCACTTATTCACTGGGCTGTGGAGGTTCAGTGCCATGCGGTATAGGCAAGCTAGCTATTTCAAAAAGAAGTCTATACGTAGTGAATCTAGTGGTTATAGCTGTTGATTGCGGGCAGGCGATATCTCCGTTCATAATTGGCATCATTAAGTTAGCCAGGGAGGAGAGGCTGAAGCCGCAACTGAATTGGTGTCTCTATACGGCGCTCCGGTGATTGAGAAATTACGGCTTCTTCTGTTCCTTCCCAATGTGAAAGATGAAGCTTCTAAACAATAGATAGCGATGATAAGCTCGTTATGATGCTAATCGATAGGATAGTTGCAAATATATTCCTTCAAGAGACGAAGGGCACGGAGCAACTTCTCAGCTCAGCCGAGACACTTGAAGGGTGTTTTTTCCCCCTCTTTTTCTTGGAAATGACATTATTCTACACACAATGGGAGGGCAAACACGCAAGTACTAACAAGGGAAAGCATTGGGAGAAGCAATCTCATGGCGCAGGCTTTGGATGTCGACTCAACCGACAGGCACCTACCAGATGTCATCTACCAAGAAGTTATCATGGCCATGGTCACCAGCTTTGCAACCTTCGTAAGGCATAATGACAAGGTGATGATCCTCGGGTTTGAAGTGAATGAGGGGAAACGAGAGTTTGTGATGCATGATAGAAGCTCTTGGAAGACAGAGTTAGACCGTTAGTGGCCCATTGGATGAGGAAGACGGTTGTTTACAACTTGCTAGCTGGAGTCGAGTTGAATAGTGCTGTTATGTTCTATATTTCTGTACTGTAGAAACTCTTACCCTTCATAAATCCGTCCTACTCTTTTTCTCTTTTTCATGTTACCACCTGCTCTTGGCGGTTCCTTTAAAAGCCGAGCAATATAGGGTGCAGTGCGGCTTTCCTTGCTCATGGCTACTTGCTCCGGAGTGCCTGAAGCGGCGACCCTACCACCATTTTGGCCTGCACCAGGCCCCATATCGATGACCCAGTCAGCACTTGCAATGACATTCATGTCATGTTCAACTACCACAACGCTGGAGCCTGAATCCACCAATCGGTTAAGTTGCAGCAACAGCATCTCCACATCAGCAGGATGCAATCCCGTGGTTGGTTCATCCAAGACATAGAGGGTATTGACACGCCCGATGCGGCCGAGCTCCGTCGCTAACTTGATACGCTGGGCCTCACCACCAGATAGCTCGGTGGCAGATTGGCCAAGGCGTAGGTAACCTAAGCCCACCTCGCGCAAGGCCGATAGGGGCCTGACGATGCTCGGCTCGTCGATGAAAAACTCGTGGGCTGCATCAACCGTGAGGTTCAAAATGTCGGCAATATGGTGCTGGCGATATTTGACCTGGAGGGTTTTTGGGTTGTAGCGCAACCCCTTGCAGGCTGAGCACGGTGCATAGACACTGGGCAAAAATAACAGTTCCACCATCACCGAGCCCTCACCTTGGCACACTTGACAGCGCCCTTTGGCGACATTGAATGAAAATTGGCCGGCATCCATGCCACTGGAGCGTGCCTTGGCCGTCTTTGCAAACAATTTACGCACTGGATCGAAGAGCCCTGTATAGGTTGCGAGGTTCGAGCGTGGTGTGCGGCCAATTGGCTTTTGATCAACGAAAACAACCCGCTTCACGTGTTCTATGCCGGAGGCCACCTGGCCGCCGAGAGTTTGTGTAGGCACGTGCTCTAGATCTGCCTGGTCGTCCTCTTCAACGCTGGGCGCTTGACCAAGAGCCTTCGATACTAGTTCCACGAGGACCTGGCTGATAAGGGTCGATTTGCCGGAACCCGACACGCCCGTGACACATAGAAGAACACCCATTGGAATGTCAACGTCTAAACTCCGCAGATTGTTGCGCGTGATAGCACGTAACTTGAGCCACACCGCGGGTTGACGCCGAGACCTGCTCACGGAGACTTTATGGCCAAACACATAACGCCGCGTCTGGGATGCCTCAACATCATCGAGACCTGCTGGTGGCCCTGAATACAGTACCTGTCCGCCATGAATCCCAGCCCTAGGACCAACGTCAACAATCCAATCTGCATGGTCGATTACGTCAACCTCGTGCTCGACTACGAACAAGGAGTTTCCTGCTTCCTTTAAGCCGGCCAGGGCACGGAGTAGGGCCTCTGTGTCTGAGGGATGCAAGCCTGCCGATGGCTCGTCAAGGACGTAGACAACACCGAACAAGTTCGACCGCAGCTGCGTAGCTAGGCGCAAACGCTGGAGCTCGCCGGGCGATAAAGTAGGAGTGCTGCGCTCGAGTGCCAAATAGCCTAAACCCAAGTCGAGCAAGACATCGAGGCGGGCTACGAGGTCCTCGGCAATGCGTAGGATGACGAGTGCCTGTTCGGCGGGGATGTCGGCACGCTCATTAAACTGGGAGTTCGGCTTGGCAAAAGGAGCAAATGTGTCGCGTAAGTCTGCTAACGACAGCGTCTGCATTTCGGCAATATCACGCCCGTCAAACGTGACCGACAATGACTCTGGACGCAACCGCTTACCGCCACAAGCAGTGCACTCTCCATTCACCATGTATCGGGCGACACGTTTTTTCATGAGCGCACTCTGCGTTTGTGCGAAGGTCGTTAGCACATATCTGCGGGCGCTGGAAAAATTGCCAAGATAACTAGGATCTTCTTTCTTCTTAATGGCGCGCCGGACTTCAACGGCATCAAGCCCCGCATATACAGGGACGACCGGAGTCTCATCGGTAAAGAGAATCCACTGCCGTGTTTCTTCGGGCAACTTGCGCCACGGAGTATCGATGTCGTGGCCCAGCGTGATCAGCATATCGCGCAGGTTTTGTCCATGCCAAGCAGGCGGCCAGGCCGCAACAGCCCGCTCTCGAATGGTCAGAGACGGATCTGGTACCATTGATTGCTCAGTCACAGTGTACGCTCGGCCCAGCCCGTGGCAGCCTGGACAGGCGCCCTCGGGCGTATTCGGCGAGAAGGCCTCCGCAAGAAGAAGGTCCTGTCCTTTGGGGTAGGTGCCAGCCCGTGAGTAGAGCATGCGTAACAGATTGGCCAGCGTGGTCACGCTACCAATGGAGGAGCGCGTGGTCGGCGCACCACGCTGCTGCTGCAGGGCCACGGCCGGAGGTAGTCCCTCGATCATATCGACCTCCGGTACCGCCATTTGATTGAATAGTCGACGGGCATAAGGTGAGACAGACTCTAGGTAACGCCGTTGTGCCTCCGCGTACAACGTCCCGAAGGCCAGAGAGGACTTGCCAGAGCCAGAGACGCCGGTGAACACCACGAGCTTGTTCCGGGGTATGTCAACATCTACATTCTTCAAATTATTCTCACGGGCGCCTCGAACGCGCACCACGTTGGGTATTTGCCTATGCGGCACCGGAGATTTGGGGTCCATCGCACGTCAGGCCTGGCCATGCCGTCGCTGTTGTGTTGATTTCTGTGAAATGTTGTTAGTACAGAGGGTAGAGATGTTGTGCCTTTTGTACGATGATACTATATATGGAAGTAACATATATGATACATATCTAAACGTTTGCGGAAAACTGCAGGATATGACGTCTTCATCTTGACTAATCTTAGCTTGGCGTGGTGCAAGCACCATACCCCGGTTTTTAAAGCGTAGTCTAACCCAATAGGTATTAGTGCCAATACTACCTTAGCTGATAAGATTCTTCCGCTTCAAATCCTCCACTTGGATAGTACCGCTTAACTTGACTTTTGTCGCGCGCATGCTATTTCTCTTCTTCGGCTTACCACGCCCTATTCCTTTGAGATACCATATCTTGTAGATGTCGACAGATGTCTCATGCTATTGCTTTGAATGACAAAGCACCGCCATAAAGCTTTTAGGGGCCGGAAAGCTTAGAGCATAAGGTAGTTAGAATAATTAGGTAGTACTCTCCAATCATTACCTGGCTGTGTTGCAATCAGCTCTCTTCATCTTCAAAAACTCGCAGTCACGTATACGGTAAATTACCAAGCCTTAGCTTCACGTCTTTGGATTTCTCAATCAGCTAAAACAAGGATGAATCTACGTGCGGCATCTTGGTGTATGCCTAGCAATTATGAAGTTTGATGCTTAATTATATTACAAGTCATGTCCCTGCATCTCGCCGAGCAGAAACTCCTAGCCGGCTGGCCACTAATTGCAACAGCCGCCATTACACAAGGCGGCCTAGAGATATGCATTTCGTGGAGGTTACCACGCATGTACACAGGTGAGCTATACGCAAGGGTTAGTAGCTAATCGCATTCATCACGATGGGGTAGGACCAAACGAGACCAACTGGAGATGGGCAATTAGGTGATAAATGACTACATCTAGCATTACCATTCTGATTGCCACCCGCCCATCTCCAATGCATCGATTTCATGTCTCCAGCCTCCGCTTATAAACCTGCCTAGATTCAAGTATTGCAAATGGCAGCAATGTCTATTGCTGACCAACACCCACTCAAGATATCACATAACACACACACCAAAAGAATCCTCCAGGTCATAAGGACGTCCCCCACCTCAGTATCTCGCAGCTAGTTTGAAAGTGTGCGTCAGTTGAGCCCAATGACTGTGGATATACGTTAGGGTTCTTCAGAATTCTGGTTATTGTGGTGTGACAAGTAAGCTCATTCTTCTGATAATAGGACCTGTCGCCGTCAAGGCACTGGAACTGTCTTTGCGGTGCCTTGACATACGAAACTTAAGGTCGCGTTCATGTTAACAGGTTATATCACAAGTTAACCAGTAATATCACACTATAAGAAGGGAGACCCTGATGACATAGTAGAGAAGTCCAAACCATTAATAAAGAGATGGACGAGTCCTCGGTGTTACTTTGTTTAAAATAATATTAAATGACAGACACTCCACATTGTTACAGTGAATACCAACCTGACCTTAACCCTAGCACCGTTAAAAGTAAATATACCGAGGACAAAAAGTTAATCATTCAACAAAGACTGCCGAGCAAGGCGGATGGGGCGTTGAAGGGACATGGCACTTTATGTAAGGTCAACAATGAGGATTAGGTCGGTCGCATCCGTGTAGAGCCGTGTCGAAAGGTTCGACCGAACTTAGTCATAGATAATAGCCGTTGTGTGAATGGTATTTTCCAAGCAGCTTCTAGATTGCACGCTTGTTCTTCCAGTAATTGACACGCAGGACTTTCAGTGGAGTGACCAAGAAATCACCTGGCCCAGTTATAAGGTGGTAGGTATGGATTGAAATAGTATTTTTTAACATTAGCCTCTCGTTATCGGCGAGCAGCCTCGAGAAAGCTGCTTTGGATCAACGAGGCCCGCCACAAACTCCTCAGAATCGTCATTTCCTTGAAAAGACTGCAACTGAGGTCGATTGCGTGAAATGCCTAGCGTATGCAAGCTGCCTTAGGATTGAGCAAAGTTCAACAGCCCCATCCAATTAGACATCTCTGTCCAGGCTTGACATGTGCAGACCCGGTATCCAATAGGGTGGTATATCTGCCGGTCTAATACTTCAAGCCCTCCTAGAAACTACGCAAATCTTGGTAAGCATATACATCGTGCACTATCATGGTTTCAACATGTTCAATCTCTGGACTTCTAAGCTTATTTTAGAGCACGTAGAAGAAAGTCTTCCGCTAAGTCTACACAAGGAATCAATCATATTCATGTTGCGCATAAGCTCCAGGTACCGTTTGTAATGGCTTTCGCATACTCTTTACCATATGAACCAAGTATAAAGGTTCAGAGACTTGATATAGAGCGGTTTATTGTCGAGTTTTCTTATAGCTTTGGTCAGCGGCAGCAAGGAAGTGATTCCTGTTAGATACATAGATATAGGCACTAGAGACAAATTTAAGACCCTTGGCCCACTACGAGAAAATATGTCCGGTCGAGCAAGCCTTCGCGTTGGTCAGGGGTATTTATGCCCGATGGGTGGATTGCAATAAATCCTGCACGAGGTGGGTCCGTACTACGGAGGCGCAAACGGCAAATCCCGTACTCCTCTTCCATGGAGAACCTCAAGCCTTTGGGGCAAGCACAACACCTGTGCGGCTCCCCATAGGGCGACAGACCGGCTGATGCAACAAATACTGAACTAACTCAGCGAAAGCTATTTGTAAGCTTTGCGCAGTTTGCTAAATATCTCCTGAAATGGTCTCGCGGTCAAACATTCAGCACCAGTGGTGAGCCTCAGCGGGCTCCCTTCAACAAAATACTTCTCGATCAACATCAAAAACTGCTTATACCTTGTTGATATGATCATTCGGCTGTCCTCATGGCGGATTGGGGAGCTGGAGATTAGCGAGCACTTCTCTCGCGAGATGTCATCCGACCACACATGCCAGCGGATTCACGACCGCCTCGAGCACGGCACGTTCTCCATACCACCAATAAAGACGCCCTGATCTGACTCGCTGCCACCCTTCACGCTCCTGTGACCGTGAATACCGGAACCACCCCAGGCATCGATAATACTATTGAAGAGGGCTTTGAATTGGCCATCAAGTGCCTCTTTATAGACTACGATCTAAGAACCTCGAATCTAAGGGACTGCGAGCTGCTTCACGAATTTGTCATTGTGTCCTATCGCTCAGAGAACGGCGCTCCTGGCCTAGGTGCTGGACAGATACTGTGCGAGATATCGCAACACCTTAGTAAGAACAAAGCTATATAGAAGGTAAATAGACGAAGCTAGGAAGACGCTCTCGAACCAGTGCCAGTTGTGTAAGAGACTGTGGGCTGCACATGGAAATTCTCAATTCCAGGGACTAAACTCACCTCACTCGGCTAATCAAACACGCCATCACTTCGCCATGCCAAAGCTGTGTTAACGAAGGGCATTATGTCTCGATTCTTTTGAAAGGCTAGTGCTTTTTCTCACGAACCTAAGATAACCTTGCAGACATTTACGTATGTATCCAAGTGCCCTCTCGGCCAGCCCATTGTTGGCTATGTGGAATCATACATTTTGCATTTTTTCTGCCTCTTGCGAATCTTGCTGTAAGCGTCAAGGTGGCAAACGACGGGATGCCTCCACAGTCAAATTGATTTGTTTTGCGGCTCGACACAATTCGAATAACTATAATGTCGTCTATTTATGTGTTTCGATAAAGTTGGGAAATTTATGTTCTAGGGACGGTGTGCTTTCTGATTCCGATAGCGTACTTCGGAATAGTGCCTGAGTGAAATCTGATGAAGAGCCTTTAAGACACGAAATCTCCGTCGCCGGTACTGGGAATATGTTAGTCTGCAACAAAAACAGGTTTTATACGGGTATCATACGATATAGCTTTTGCCATCGTCAGGATTTGCTATGACCATGCTGCACGCAAAATAGATATGAGTATATTAATATTTCTTAGGGTCTATAACCAACCCAACCAGAGTCAGCCAGATTTCTGAAAGTGCTTCCTGGGCATGGTCATCCCGGGTAGCCTTCTATTAGAACGAATGAATCGGATCAAAGGCTTAGTGGCGAAGTGGCAACGCGTTACACCTATATTCCAGGCTCGAGGTCCTCTAGGCTTGCCTTGCCTAGGGGGTCCGATCCTGGAGATGTAAAGAGCCTAGGTTCGATTCCTAGCTAGGCCAACCTCCTTTTTTTTTATCACACTACCGAAGACGGTTGAAAGAGTTGAGCAGACAACTTTACCGCTGAGACGCATACAACACGCACAAGATAAAGGCTCTGGGAAGCCGGCTTCTGATCAGTAGGAGCAGCATTAGTTTAGGAAAATGAAAACATCTACCAAACGTTTTGATTATTTAAGGTAAATGTGAAAGTCTGGGAGCGGTACTGAAGTTCTCGTTCATCGTGAAGTGACCCAAGCAAGTAAAGCCAGAGTTTTGGTTGCCAAATCGAGACAGCAAGCACCACTTGATTGGCTTAAATGAGATGTTAACATGTAGGTCTACGTACCGTTCTTTCAATCATGGGACCGAAAACTTGAGCTAGAGTAACCTGGTGGGAAAGCGTTGGTGTAAGCACCTCACTGGATCGACAACTTCAAGGCCAACAATCTGAACGCGACGGAACACACGTATTATCTAGGGATTCTACTAGGTGCAAAACACACTAGCTTGCCTCGGTAGCAACAGACAGAGCTACACACAAGCACCAAGTCTGTCAATATAGCCGGAGGACAGCGTCTTGGTAAGCCTCTGCAAACGCACGAGC